TGGGTCTTTTTGAAGAACGTTTTGTTAACAATGAAAACGAAAATCCATTTTTGAATAAAGTCCTGAAGTGGTATCGATATATTGACGACATTGTTTGCATATGGGGAGGAACGGGAGAAGAGCTGTCAGACTTGATGGCATTACTCAATGACATTGACCCCAATCTCAAATTCACTATTGAATGTGACACTAAACGTGTTCATTACCTCGATATGTCGATTGAGAAATCAAATGGAACCCTGTTTACAAGAACGGACAGAAATACTATATTACAAGGGGACAGCTTCCACCCTGAGCCATTAAAAAGAGGACTTCCAAGAAGCCAGTTTTTCAGACTGCGCTGTATATGCCACTCCACAGAGGACTATCTCTAGAAAAAGCAGCGGAGATGCGCAATAGGTTTCTAAGAAGAGGCTACTCTCCACAATGTTTGGATGAAGCTCTTAATTTGGCATTGGACAAAACACGAGATGAACTGCAACAAAAAAAATACCCACTAGAGCTAAAGAACACTGTAATGTTTACCACCACATATACTTTGAACTCGCGAAAAGTGGGAGATGCTGTCAAGAAACACTGGCATGTTTTATCATCTGACCCAGCATTGCCAGCTGAATTTAAGAATCCACCACTTACTGTATAGGAGAGGTCGCAATTTACGCGATAAATTGGTCCATGCCAACTGCTAGCCACAAAAGAAAATCAGCCAGGCTCTTTTACGCCCTCTTCTTCGTGGTAGTTATAAATACAGAGGTTGCGCACAGTGCAACAATATGATTGTAAGTGTGAATATTTCTGCCACCCACATGCAGGAAAACGGTTACAAATAAATGACATTATTACGTGCTCCACCACCCATGTTATCTCATCTCCATGATTAAATGTCCATGTGGGCTGTGTCATGTAGATAAAACCTCTCATTCTCTCAAACAGAGAATTAGTGAACATAAAAGTTCAATCAGGAGAAACGACAGGGATTATCCAGTCGCAGTACATTTTAATGACCTAAAACATGACATTTCGACCTTTAGATTTTGTGGCCTAGAGAAAGTTAAGATGTCAGACAGGGGAGGTGATATAAATAATACTCTGAGCAAAAGAGAACGTTTTTGGATTTTCACCCTCCAGACATTATCTCCAAGAGGTCTTAATGATGAAATGGCTATGTATGTTATGTTGTAAATATAATATAATAAGAATAATATGCCGTTTAGCAGACGCTTTTATCCAAAGCGACTTACAGTCATGTGTACATACATTTTTACGTATGGGTGGTCCCGGGGATCGAACCCACTACCCTGGCGATACAAGCGCCGTGCTCTACCAGTTTAGCTACAGAGGACCACAGTGATCATGAATTAATGCCCCCATTACAGATTACTCTGACGTTTTTCTTGCGCTGTACCCAATGATTTATGAAAACTTGCTTAGTGGGTTGATGTCCTCATTGTGGTTTTACATACGTGTTTAATACGTTTTATGTACACACTGTATTAGAATATTTATGAAATTCACATTGTTATATTTGGTAGCACTTACTTGTTTTCCCTCGACTCCAACCCCATTCGATGAGTGGAACGGATGTGTGGGGCTATGTCTACATAAAGTTGCTAATTTTAAAAACTCACAAAAGCTCTGACGAAGGCCTTGAGGCCAATACGTAAGCTAAA